CAGCATCATCATCAGCATCATCATCATCATCATCATCATCAGCATCGTCATCAGCATCAGCATCATCATCATCATCATTATCATCCTCATCCTCATCCTCATCCTCATCATCAGCAGCATCAGCATCATCATCACCAACATCATCATCACCATCAGCATCATCATCGTCAGCATCATCGTCAGCATCATCATCACCATCCGCAGCATCCTCCTCTTCCTCCTCGGCCTCATCCTCCAACCATTTTTCTTCCTCGTCCTCTCTCTCCTCCTCCTCCCCTCATCAGCAGCAACATCATCATCATAATCGCCATCAGCATCAGCAGCATCATCAGCATCAGCAGTATCATCATCAGCAGCAGCAACATCGTCATCATCATCAACCTCATCAGCACCAGCATCCTGATCATCTGCATAATCAGCATCATCACCACCGGCGTCGTGAGCATCATCAGCAACAGCATCATCACCATCATCAGCATCATCAGCAGCATCATCATCATCCTCCGCAACATCATCATCAACATCAGCAGTATCATCATCAGCATCATCAGCATCAGCAGCATCGCATTCACCATCATCGTCAGCATCAGCAACATCAGCATCAGCATCAGCATCATCATCAGCAGCGGCGTCAGCATCAACAACAGCATCATCATCATCAGCATCATCATCAGCAGCAGCATCAGCATCATCAGCACAATCATCCTTATCAGCATCAGCATCGTCATCATCAACCTACGTATCAGCATCACCATCGTCGGCGTCATCCTCAACATCAACATCAGCATCAGCATCGGCATCATCAACTCATCCTCAGCAGCATTATCAGCATCATTATCAGAAGCACCATCATCAACACCAGCATTGGCATCATCATCAACATCATCAGCATCAGCATCATCGTCGTCATCATCATCATTAGCATCAGCATCATCAGCATCAACATCAGCAGCAGCAGCAGCATCAGCATCCTCATCAACCTCAGCATCAGCATTATCAGCATCATCAGCATCATCCGCCTACTTCCCATCAGCACTACCATCATCATCACCATCATCAGCATCATCATCGTCGTCATCGTCATCGTCATCAGCATCAGCATCATCAGCAGCATCATCATCCACATCAGCAGCACCAGCATCAGCATCATCGCATTCACCATCATCGTCAGCATCAGCAGCATCAGCATCAGCATCAGCATCATCATCAGCCTCATCAGCATCATCAGCATCATCATCAGCAGTATCATGATCAGCATCGGCATCAGCATCATCATCGTGATCATCATCATCAGTATCAGCAGCAGCATCAGCATCATCGTCATCATCTGCAGCAGCATCAGCAGCAGCATCATCAGCAACAGAGTCATCCTCATCAGCAGGAGCATCCGAATCATCATCAGCAGCATCATCAGCATCATCATTACCATCATAAGTAGCATCATATTCCTCATCATCGTCATCGTCGTCATCATCATATCATCATCGTCATCATCATCATCATCATTAGCATCAGCATCATCAGCATCAACATCATCAGCAGCAGCAGCATCAGCATCCTCATCAACCTCAGCATCAGCATCATCAGCATCATCAGCATCATCCGCCTACTTACCATCAGCACTACCATCATCATCACCATCATCAGCATCATCATCGTCGTCATCGTCATCGTCATCAGCATCAGCATCATCAGCAGCATCATCATCCACATCAGCAGCACCAGCATCAGCATCATCGCATTCACCATCATCGTCAGCATCAGCAGCATCAGCATCAGCATCAGCATCATCATCAGCCTCATCAGCATCATCAGCATCATCATCAGCAGCATCATGATCAGCATCGGCATCAGCATCATCATCGTGATCATCATCATCAGTATCAGCAGCAGCATCAGCATCATCGTCATCATCTGCAGCAGCATCAGCAGCAGCATCATCAGCAACAGAGTCATCCTCATCAGCAGGAGCATCCGAATCATCATCAGCAGCATCATCAGCATCATCATTACCATCATAAGTAGCATCAGATTCCTCATCATCGTAATCATCGTCATCATCATATCATCATCGTCATCATCATCATCATCCTCATCATCAGCAGCAGCATCATGAGCATCATCGTCAGCAGCAGCATCGTCATCAGCATCATCCTCAACATCATCATCAGCAGCATCAGCAGCATCAGCATCAACAGTTACATCATTATGGTTACCATCATCCTCCTCATCCTCCACCTCCTACTCCTCCTCCTCCTCCTCCTCCTCCTCCTCCTCCTCCTCCCCATCCTCCTCCTCCTCCTCCTCCTCCTCCTCCTCCTCCTCCTCCTCCTCCTGCTCCTCCTCCTACTCCTCCCCCTCCTCCTTCTCCTCCTCCTCCTCACTTTCTCCCTCCAACTCCTCCTCCTCCCCATCCTCCTCCTCTCCTTTTGCTGCCCTCCGCGCCAAGAGTCGCCCTTTCCCCGAGACGAGGCGAATCGCCAGAGCGCTCCCCTGCGTCCTCGAAGTGGTCGCGGCCTGGGTGCACGTTGGCGATCATGGACACCAGGCAATCAGACGTGAGCGAGCCTCTCTCGGGGGGGGACAGGCAGCAACGGCATCAGAAGCAGGAGCTCGAAGAGGGAGAGAAAGCAGGAGGACCAGGAGGACGAAGAGGAGGATGAGGAGGAAAAGGAGGAGGAGGAGGAGGAGAAGTAGGCGGAGGAGGAAGCACGGAGCACGGAGATGGGAGAAGGGAGAGGTAAAGCTAGGTGTGCTTGCGTCATGTCTGACGTCCTACTCCTGCCTCCCATCCCTAATCATGGCGCAGATATCCTCTGTATTCGCACAGTCGGATGTCGAGCAGGGCAATGATCGCGAGAGGGTACGCGATGCATGGTAGAGCACGGCATGGCATCGCGTAGAAGAGCACGGCAGAGCGTAGCATGTCACAGCATGGCGTGGCATTGAGCAGTGAAGCAGTGCATCACAAAGCATTGCAACGCAAAGCATGGAATCGCACAGCGGCGCAGAACACAACACCGCACAGCATGTCATGGCATGGCGCCGGGTACCTTGGAGAGTAAGTGGATGGTCTTCGAGAGGTCTGGGCCGGTCTGGAGTCGTGGCTCAATGTCTAGCTCTTTGGGCTCCCCGAAAAGCTCCACACAAGGCGGGGCTGATGGAGAGCACCCTGCTTTCAACAACGCCTTCTCAAAGCAGAAACGGGGCTCCCGCTTGGTACTTCCCGAAAACGACGACGCCCCAGTGGAGTAGGGGCTTCTGCGGCCCAGAAAATCAGCGAATCGACACCGAATGTATCCCTTCCGATGGTTTTTTCGGGGTGGCAATTTTTAGATTTAGGGGCCTATTTGGAAGGACCGTAAACGACCGCGCCGCAGTGGGAGCACGATTTGGAACAACCAGAGGCGCAGAAATGGGGCCAGCGTTCAGCGGGAGCAACATTCTGACAAAAAAAAAAAAAAAAAAAAAAAAAAGCCCAAGCGAAAATCCATACCCGGGAGTCCTGTGTAAAAAACAATTCGCGGAGGAGGCCGGACATCTTCCGACGTCATCGGGGGACAGAGGAGAATAGTATTCCTACTGTGTAATTGTACGGGGGAGGGATGAGGTTGGGGAGCGGAAAGGTGAGGAGAGGGGGGAGGGAAGGGGGAAGGGGGGGAAGGAGGGAGGAGGGGGGGAGCAGACGCAGTGGGGGGCGAGCTGGGTGGTTGCGGCGCCTCTGCTGCAGCATTACAGCACAGCGCAAGGATAAGTCAGCATGAAACAGGAATGCAAATCCTCGACTGGCTGGTTTCGCAGGACGGCTTGCAGAACCCTCAGCATGCCCAGAGTCCAAAGAGGATTCTACGCAAAAACAAACCGACACCCGAAAGCCAACCTCCCATATCGCTGTAATTCAGTGTACCACAAAAGAAGAAAGAGACGGACGAGGACGAGAAGGAAGAATGATACGGAAGAGGGAGAAGGAGGACAACGACGAAGGAAGAGGTTGAGAACCAGAGAAAGGATGCATTCTGAGCTGCCTCCCAGGATCCGTCGGCGAAACGCAGACTCAGACAATACGCAGCATAAGAAGAGGGATCAAGCGTGAGGCCAGATCAGCAAGTAACGATCCATATTCTTTCTCTGGTAAGAGAATCTTGATAACATTATAGTGTAAGGGAGACTGCGACTTGCTGCGTGCGGCGGCGGCACGAGGCCATAGGAGCCATCATGGGGTTACATCCCGACCCGGGCCGCATCCTTCGAGACCTGACGGCGCTAGCGAGCCCGCAGCCAGGCAACGGGGTCGTCGGCATCGACCGCCCTGGCGGCGGTGGCGAGATGGTGGCGCGGCGACGGAGGCCTGACGCGGCACCAGCGGAAGACCCATCTCCCCCCCCAGGGCTCGAGTCAAGCAGTGTGTTCCGTTTTCGTTTTCGTTTTCGTCATCCCTAGCTCTGTCTTCGTTCCACAGCTGCTGCCGAACGGAGTCAGAACGAAAACGGTCCACGAGATGGCCAAAACACCGTTCAGCTCGAGCCCTGCTCCCCCCTCCCCCCTCCCCTCTCGCCTCCCTCCCCTGCAACCCCTAACCAGGCCCCCCCCTGAGCCAGAAGAAGATCCACCGTAGTACGAGCCTAGACCTTCGAAGATCCGCGCGGAATGCTCGGATCGGCGCTGGACCCTTCTCCCTGGCGCGCGGTGCGCGCCAAGGGCGGCGCCGGGGGCACCACTAGAGGGTCCAGCGCCGATCCGAGAAATCTCCGTGGACCTCCGAAAGTATGTGTTCCTTATTTCTTCCCCGATCGGAATCAGAGTCAAAGTCAAAGCCTTCCTCCGAAAGTCCGAAAGTCAAAGTCAAAGTGAGTTACAGCAGCTGTGATCGGAGCTATCGCTGATCGGAGCAGCTTGAGTCAACGTGCCTTGGTTCATTGCTTCTTCCTCGATCAACTCTGACCTTCCCCCTCCCACCCGCCCGTCCCACTCCCCAGGCCCCGAACGTAACTACCTATACGACCACCATTCGGGTGATAAGGAGGGGGGGGAGAGGGGGGGGAACCAACATCTGACTCAATCGATCTCACGATCGATCTCACACAACGGGACACCACGGGACACCACGGGACACCTGTCGATCTCACGATCGATCTCACTATCCATCTCACTTTTTGGGACACCACGGGACACCTCGGGGCACCACATCAACATCAGTACCGATCTCACTATCGATATCACTATCGATCTCACTATCAATATCACTATCGATCTCACTATCGATCTCACTTTTTGGGACACCACGGGACACCACGGGACACTTGTCGATCTCACTATCGATCTCACTATCGATATCACTCAACGGGACACCACGGGAAACCACAGGCCACCACGGGACACCAAGGGATACCGCGGGACACCTCCCGATCTCACTATCGGTCTCACGATCGATCTCAATATCGATCTCACTCAACGGGACACCTCGGGACACCACGGGACACCACGGGACACCACGGGACACCTCGGGACACCACATCGATTTCACTACCGATCTCACCATCGATCTCACTATCGATCTCACTCAACGGGACACAACGGGACACCACGGGACCCCTGTCGATCTCACTATCGATCTCACTATCGATCTCACTCAACGGGACACCACAGGACGACTCGGGGCACCACATCGATCTCAATACCGATCTCACGATCGATCTCACTATCGATCTCACTCAACGGGACACCACGGGACACCACGGGACACCACGGGACACCACGGGACACCTGTCGATCTCACGATCGATCTCACTACCCATTTCACTTTTTGGGACACCACGGGACACCTCGGGGCACCACATCAATCTCAATACCGATCTCACTACCGAACTCACTATCGATCTCACTATCGATTTCACTATTGATATCACTCAACGGGACACCACGGGACACCATGGGACACCACGGGACACCGCGGGACACCACGAGCCACCGCCTGACGGACGGACGGACGGGCGGGCGGGGGAGAATCATTTGTCTTGACTTCGCCCTAGCTACGGCGGACACCACGGGACACCACGGGACACCACGGGACACCGCGGGACACCACGAGCCACCGCCGGACGGGCTGGCGGAAGAGAATCATTTGTATTGACTTCGCCCTAGCAACGGCGGGTTCATTCCTCTCGCGCGCCCACGCAGCTTCGCCTCGCCCGCACGCACGACACGAACGAAACGAAACGATGTCCCGGTTGGGGGTCTCCGTTCCATTGCGATCTCACCCCCCAACCTCCGATACACATCCACCCCCTGCCGAGGCCCCGGAAGATCGATCCCCTGGGAGGTGCTCACGGACAGTGCCCCGCCTCAGATCCTCCCTTGCCCACTCCCGATGCCCCACTCCTCTGTCGGGAGGTGCCAGAGGTGCTCCTAGCCCGCGGTGTCCCCAGCTTTTGGCGCCAGTCTGGAGCCCCTTGGGACCCCGTGGGCCTCGCGAGGGGGGGCACGTGTGGCAACGCCCGGCGCCGAGCAGCGCGCGGTCCTTTGAGGAGCAGCGTCAGCTTGGAGTCCCGGTACGGCGGCTTCTTGCGCGCCGAGCCGCCCCCTGCGCGTCGGAGCTGGGGAGGCCGGGGCGCGCCGCTTCTCGCCGGACGGGGCCGAGCCCGTACGCCCGAGGGACTGCACCGGTCCCCGCCGCGTTGACGCAGGCACCGAGTGGAGTGTCGTCAGGGATGGAGTGGAGTGCCATCACCACTACGGGCATCTCTACCTTCGAGTTCTCTGCGCGAGGGAAACTCGGGAGTGAAGGAAGCTCGGGATGGGGCGACGAGAACTGCACGTGCCCCCTGCCCCCGGCCAGGCCCATCACGGGCCGAGGAGCAGTGCATGTACACCCTGCGAAATGCTTAAGAAATCATGGGTTAAGAAATTCATAGTCTCAGAACTTGGATAAAAAAAACCCAACATTTCCATGACAATCTTAAGATTTACATTGGAACGTTAAGAATAATCGAGACTCTGGCCGAAAACTTAAGTTTTCTTAAGCATCGCCTAAGGTGTACTCTCCCGGCCTGGCCAGGGAGACGTGCACACCGCTCCCGGGCCCCGCACGAGCCTGGCCAGGGACGCTGCAGACCCGTGCAGATCTCGCCGCCCGACCCGGAGGCTCCGCGGAGCAACTCAAAACCAGATATACGTCGAATTCGCGTCGGATTGACGCCGCGCGTCCAGGATGACCACGATGGAAACCACCGCATCCGCAAGTTCACATAAAAAATCCAGGACGGGCGGAATTCCGCATTAGTGGGGCAGCGTTTTCCCACTTGCGTTTCGGTCCTGAGGAAGCTGGGGCCTGAAGCCTTTCAAAAATCTCCGCAAGTGCCTCGGGCCCGGGAGTCCCAGAACCTTCGGGCGCTCCCGGGCGCCCGGCGGCGTTTCTGGGGCTTCTCGCGCGACTTGTCCAGAGGAATCGGGAGCATAGCTGCGAGCCCATACTTCCCACGATGGCCCCAAGGGACCGTCCTTTGGCTCTCTCGGGGCCTCATCTCTTTGCACGCGACGCGGCTGCTTTGGAGAAGAGAGAAGGAGAGACCCGAGAAATCAGCCTGATTACGAGTGCAAGCTGTTGAGGTGACCGCAGGCGGACGCCACCTACGCCTCAGCCTGGCAGCCTAACGCGCCCAGGCGCGAGCGGCATATCGATTGACGCGCGAGCCAAGCAATCAAAGAAGGCACAAGTCCACCAGAAGCCAAAAACATGCCCCACGATTGACAAAGTGAAGTGCGCCGCTCAGACTGTATCTCACAGATGGCACCAAGATGGCACCACAGAGAGAGAGAGAGAGAGTGCGCATCGAAAGTACCAGAGCCCCACTGTGCGGAGTCCTCAGCGAGGCCTCGTCTCGAAGCAGCAGGCTGCAAAGCCGCGGCCCTGCCACGGCCGAAGAGGCCGTGGCCACCGGAGGTGCCAAGCACAAGGGGCGAGCCCCGGTCACGAAGGGGCTCCCTGGCCTGGTGGATCTACGGAGCGGGTCCGGAAGTCAGAGCCCCTCCTCGAAACCATCTGTGGGTCCACATTGGAACGCCATTACAGCCAACCCGTATCAGAAGGATGCGCGGTAAGGATGCAAGGGCCTTGGATGCCCACGCGAACGTTTTTCGAGCGAGGCTGGCCAGCGAAAGTCGCCAAGGATGGGCCGAAGGGGCAAGGATGCGAGGGTACCCTTGGGAAAGTTGCCCATCCTTGCCATGCGGATTGGACTGTATCACAATACCTCCTCCTATCCCTCCCCTGCCCACGCCGGCTTGCGGCGGGCACCAAATTAGGTACGGTGCCACCCAGCCCGAACAGGTTGCGAGAGTAAAGAGACGCAGGATGCCTTCACAGCCTGTAGCTGCGGTCCCATCCAATCCAAATGTTTGGTTTGTTCATTCCAGCCAGAGGCCGAGTTGAACGGTTTACTGCAGGACCTTCTTATGGGCGACCTGCCTCTTGGCAAGCATTGACGAGCCTGGGGGCAGGCCTTGCTGCACTCTCGCCAACTGCTTCTTGCCATAAAGGTTCAAAGGTTGCTTGCAAACAGTAGCCAAATTGCGGACGGCTTGGGTTACCACGCAGCCGCAAGCATGACAGACAGGTCCCGAACTCCATGTGATAGGCCAAGGTGTGGGAGCTGTGCAAACCTTTACCATTCACTGAACTCTTCGTGGGAGCGACTGAACGATTGGGCATGATGCCGTCGCAACTCCATGGCCGCAGTCTCACCGCGCCCAAACACTCTGCGAGAGGAAAAAGACGCAGGGGACTGTCACAGCCCAGGGCTGCGGTGCCACCAAGCCAAAATACACAGCGTGAGGAGAGAGGCGCAGGATGCCCTCACAGCCCATGGCTGCGGTCCCATCCAACCATAAGTTCGTCGCCTCCCTCTGGAAAGGAGGCCTGCCTCCTGACCTCGCGGGCGCAGAAGATGCGCCCGCACGAGCGCTCACGCGCTCGCGCCGGCGCGCAAGAAGAGATGGGTGTAGGAGGAGTAGAAGGAGGAGGAGGAGGAGGAGGAGGAGGAGGAGGAGGAGGAGGAGGACCTGGGGGGTGAGAGGCAGCCAAACGAAGGCAGCAGGCAGGCGGGAGGGAGGGAGGAGGAGCAGCACATCGGATGCCCAGTCCCGGCCGCGCGCGTCGACCAGACTGGCTAGTACACCGCTGGCCCAGGGCCGCGCCAGGCAGGGCAGAGCGCGCCGTGCGTCAGGGATCCTCTGTTCTTCGTCGGCGGCCCTCCGCTCAGCAACGGCCCAGCTCAGATCCCCTACACCCTGCGAAATGCTTTAGAAATCATGGGTTAAGAAATTCATCGTCTCAGATCTGGAATAAAAACCCAACGTTTCTATCAACATCTTAGGAATTAAATTGAAACAGTAAGAATAATCGAGACTCTGGCCGAAAACTTAAGTTTTCTTAAGCATCGCCTAAGGTGTAGGGGGCATCGCCTGGGTCCGAGAGCCAACGAATCGCGTGGCACAACAAACAACTGCACCCTCCTGCGGCGGACGGGGAGGATGGAGCTCTGCCTGGCAGACGTGCGCTCAGTGATGCTGATTCTCCTTTGGTGCAGGGCCTCTGCTACCTAGGAGCGCTGCTACCGCTGCCTCACCAGAACTAGCGCATGATGCTGTTCCACCAGCTCGTCCACGGATACACGACCTCGCCAGGGCACCATGGCATCCACCACTGCTTCTCCGCGAAGCACCCGATGCTGATGCCAAAGTGGTCGAACACGCAACACTGGTACTCCTCCTCTTCCTCGACACTGGCGGCCGAACCGAGGCTACCAGGCTCCAGCGTGGTCGTCGTCAGAGTTGTGGTCGTGGTGGTCCTGGTTGCAGCCAACGGCACGTTCGCCGGGCACGATGGGAAGCAGGGAACGCACTTGAACATCGGGGCGAGGGTGAACTTGAAGCGGGCGGTATGGCCGTCGTCCCTGAAGTTCTTGAGCGTGACCTTCGCCTTCTCCAGGTCGGCAAACTTGATGCTCACCGCCATCTTCTTCATATCTTCCGTCAGATCGTCGGGGAAGATGGCAAGCGCCATACCCGCGGGCGCAGAAGATGCGAAGGTGTCGAGGGTACCCTCCCTCTCGTACTGGATGTAGCTATCCGTCAGCATAGTGTACTCAGAGACGCCCTCGGCCTCGACGGTCATGCCGCCCTCCAGGTCGTAGAAGGTGATGTAAAGCTCTGGGAGCGCTTGCTCGGAGCCATCCGTGCTTGCGATCTCGATGCTGAGCGGCATGGCTCTGTCGTACTCGAGGGAAACGGATGCAAAGTGCCCGGTGGAATCGGGCTGGTTGGTATCGCAGTCGCCCTCGCACTTGAAGCTGAACGTGACGCCGGTGCCCGAGTCTTCGCCTCCGAACACGGCGATGCCCTCCCAGGTGAGAGCGGTCGGCAACGAATTGTCAGCTTGAGGGGCAAGAACCGGCTTGAGGAGCACTCGGTCGTACTCGAAGCAAGCATCCTGGTTGAGCTGAATGTTGGTTTCGATAATGAAGTTAGATCCAGAGTACGCGCGCTCTGCGAAGAATATAGCGAGGACCACGGTCTTCCCAACCTCGAGAGCAAGGTTATCTTTCATAGCGTCCAGCTCCACCGTCTTATCGACAGGCATATGCATACCCCCCACGTCGATCGCCAGCCGTTCGTTGAAAAACACCCACAGGTCGTCGTCTCCTCTGAATCTGAAAAATTCTCCGCCATGGTACACAAAGGTTTTGATGGCGCGCATGGTGAAGTAGAAATTATGCGGCAGATATTTGTGGACGTCATTGTGCCCCAAACCGTCCAGGGGGAAGAAGTTGGGGCGCTTGATCTCCCACACCCCTGTCTCGCCGTACTTCTCCTCCAAGCGAAACGTGAGCTCCACCTTCACAGACCGGTCTGAGCCCTCCCACCACTCGTTGAAGTTAGCTTGGGTTGAGAGCGTGCACGGCGTGTTCCCGTTCGTGACCTTGCAATCATTCCACACCGGGAACCCGGTTACTGGATCGAGCTTGCTCTGCACCAGCCCCGTCTGCTCAGCCCTGGTGTTCCCGGGATAGAATCCGGGCTCGAAGTCGGGGTGCCCTCCGCTCTCTTTTGAGCCCTTGAAGTCCTGGAAGATGCAGTGGAGCTGGGCGCCTTCATCGAGGGCCTCGAGCCGGACCAGCTTCTGGCCCACCCGCGCCGCCGCTGGCCTGCTCGTCCTCGCAACAGCCGCGGCGACACCCGCGCCGGCCAGCGCAGCCGCCCCCAGCGCGGCCCACCAGCGAGGGCTTCGGTGGGGCCTCGGGGCGTCCTCCGTCTCGCCCGACAGGTGGGCGGGGACGTCCCCCGCGAGCCTCAAGGGCTCGGCCTCGCCCTGCCCGTGCGCTGTGCTGGCCATCGCCCGCGCGGTGGCAGCCAGGGACGGAGCGGAGCTGTGGAGACTTCGGAGTCGCCTCGGGACTGTGCTCGCCTGGGGTGGCGTCCCCCGCCAGGTTGTCTGAAAGCAACAACGGCTTGAGCCAAAATAGCTACTCCAGATTTCGTAATAAAAGGGGGGGGGGTCTGGACCCTCCAAGACAAGCCATTTCAGACCTCCCCCGTGGGGGAACCCTCCAAAACATCGTCCCCAGACCCCCCAGGCCCTCCAAGATAGCCTGGAAGAGACCCGCCCCGAAATGAGACCCCCTCCCTTTTTATTACGAAATCTGGAGTACGGGCCGAGAGGCACAAGACGGATCCAGAGGCCACCAAGAGAGCACCCAGGAGGCCGCCAAGCGGCCCCCACGAGGCACCAGGAGGCCCACAGCAGGCCCCCCAGAGGCCACGAGGAGACCAAAAGGAAGCCCCAGGAGGCCCCAAAAGAGCCCCAAGGGACCTCCTCCACCCATTCTCATGATTAGTAGCGACGTCAAGACGGACAGGGCGTTTCGCGTGAGAAGTCCTCATTGTGTACAAGATTGCAGCTTGAAGCCATCAACAATCACATGGCTGGGAGGGAGGCGTTTTAACAATGGAACTCTCGCCGTGGTGCCGCGCACACGCGCCTGACGCATTGAGGAGGAGGAGGAGGAGGAGGAGGAGGAGGAGGAGGAGGAGGAGGAGGGGGAGGAGGGGAAAACAGGAGGAGGAGGAGGAGGGGGGGAGGAGGAGAAGCACGAGGAGGAGGGGGGGGAGGAGGATGAGAGGAGGAGGAGGAGGAGGAGGAGGAGGAGGAGGAGGAGGAGGAGGAGGGAGGAGGAGGAGGAGGGGGGGAGGATGAGAGGAGAAGGAGTAGGAAGAGGAGGAGGAGGACGACGACGAGGACGAGGAAGTGCAGGAAGAGGAGGAGGAGGAGGAGGAGGAGGAGGAGGAGGAGGAGAAGGATGGGAAGGAGAAGGAGGAGGAGGAGGAGATGAAGGACGGTTCCTTTTATATCCGCAAACATCAACATGCGCAACAGCTACGCGATAGGAGAGGGGTTCCTTTTTTCAAATGCGCCTACTGCTCGAGACTCCAGCTTCAAGGTTCGCAAGAACTACGCGGATGAATGTCCTACTGGGCACTTCATTGGCAGTGAATGACTCCACCTTGCCGCGTTCCGTTCCTTACAGCTCGAAGGATGAAGGAAGCTTCTTCCCAAAAAAAGCTCCCGCGTGAAATGCGGCCCCCCTGGACACAGACCGGTGGCAGTGCCGGCGGCCCTGTGCACTCACTCGACACTCGCACACACCTGCGAATGATGGGAAATCTGGCATCACTTCGAACACCCATTTTTGGGAGTGATTCCAAGATTCCCATGATTCCGAATTATGGGAAACTCATGGCCGCAGGACTCCCCTCGCACACCTGATGTACTGACCTCCAGGACACACCCTGACAGAATGACCAGCGGTCCTGTCTCCACCTGCCCAGGAGAGGTACGGCCCCACTGCAACGCCACTGTGCATCCGCGAGGCTCGTTTGTGAGGCGGGAGCTGGGAAGCCCGACCCTGTCGATGAACAGGCGTCGTCACCAGTATAGTTCGCAAAGTTAAATGATTTACCTCAAATCCTCCTCCTCCTCCTCGTCCTCCTCCTTGCATGCACTGGCATGCGATGGCATGAAATGCCTGCGTCGGCATCCTTGCGCATGATTTGGCATGATTTGGCATGCTTTGGCATGCAGTGGTATGCAGTTGTATGCAGTGGCATGCTTTGGCATGCGTTGGCATGCATTGACATGCACTGGCATGCATTGACGTGCACTGGCATGCGTTGGCATGCTTGCGGTTGCTTTGGCATGCGTTTGCATGTTTTCGCATGATTGAGCATGCATTGCCATGCAGTGGCTGGCATGATCTTGCTTGCATTGGCATGCATTGGCATGCATTGGCATGCACTGACATGCACTGACATACAGTTGCATTCGTTGGCATGCTATGGCATGCTTGCGGTTGCTTTGGCATGCTTACGCTTGCTTTGGCATGCATTGGCATGCATTGGCATGCATTGGCATCCGTTGGCGAGCTTTAGCATGCATTGGCATGCATTGTCATGCATTGGCATTTGCATGCGCTGGCATGGGTTGGCATGCTTGCGCACGCATTACCACGCATTGGCATGCATGGCCATGTTTTGGCATTCCTTGGCGTGCGGTGGTATGCATTGGCATGTATTGGCGTGTTTGCGCTTGCTGTGGCATGCTTTAACATGCTTTGGCATGCTTGCGCATGCTTTGGCATGCATTGGCATGCACTGATGTGCTTTGGCATGCTTTGGCATGCTTGCGCTTACTTTGCCATGCTTTGGCATGATTTGGCATGCTTTGGCATGCGTTGCTATGCATTGGCATTCATTGGCATGCATCGGCACGCTATGGCATGGTTGCACATGATTTGGCATGCTTTGACATGGTTTGGCATGAATTGCCATGCATTGGCATACTTTGGCATGTATTCGCACGCTTTGGCATGCATTGGCATGTATTGGCATGCATTGGCATGCTTTGGCATGGCTTGGCATGTTTTGGCGTGCCTTGGCGTGTTTTGGCTTGTTTTGGCATGCAGTGGCATGCATTGTTGTGCGTTGGCCTGCATTGGTATGCGTTGGCATGCTTTGGTGTGCACTGGCATGACTTGGCATGCTTGCGCATGAGTTGGCATGTTTCGGTATGCTTTGGCAAGCATTGGGGCCACCGTGCCCTCCAGGGTGGTCACACCAGGAAACTGGGCCCACTCACGGCGTTAACGCGCCCTGGAGTCATTCTACCTCAAGTCCTCCTTCTCCTCCCACATATGTTTCCAATGATTTCCATAACCGCTGTGGGAAGCACATAATTCAACATCTTGGCCGGACTTTGGCCCAACAGTTGGCCACACGGGCACCTCTCTAAGGCGAAGGGGCGGCGATGGCTCGCAAAAGCGTCTTCGATAAACACGAGCCAAGCCAAGGCAGGCGGGTGCGCGGTATCTTCGCCGGTCAGACCGCACGCGGCCGCGCGCGGGCCTGGTGGGGAAAGCATGATTACCTACCAAACCACCCCAACCTAATCCGAAGATCCACGTTCGGGTTGGGGGGGGGTACGAGCTCCACGTGTGTCTTTGTTGCCCATGTTCCCCGACGCCCCCCCCCCCACTGGGAATGGAGGGCAAATTGGGGCATTAGGTTGGGATGGGGTGGTTTGGTGGGTGGTGACAGAGATGACAGAGAAAACAGAAAGGTAGGCAAAAGCGAGCGAGGCCGGGCCAGCCACTCAGCGGCGGGACAGCGGGCTGCCGCCGCCATCGCCAGCACACGGGGCGGGCGCGCACTGGGGCCAGCTGCAGGAGCTGACTCCACGGGCGGGCGGCCGGGAGACGCCGCCGACGCAGCACTGGATATAGGACGGGCGCTGGTGATGCCTGGCCATGGTGGCGAACTCAACCGTGCAGGAGGTCCCAGGGCACTCGCACTTTCTCCTCGGCGGCCGCGCACGCGGGCGACGCGGCGATGAACCCCCTGTGCGCGGACTTACGCGGCCCAAACCAGTCCGCACAGACACCCCGTGAGCGCACTTCCGCACACCAGGCACCCCGCGAGCGCACTGTCGAATGCGGGGATCGGGCGAAGACTGCCAACTGCCTCGCAATCCTGCTCACCGTCGTTGCCGTCATCGCCAGCGTCGTCCCCGTGTGTGCCGAAACCTGCCGCGGCAAAGACAGCGCTCACTTCGCTATGCTGGCAGTCGATGAGTCGACAAGCGCGATCCACTATTCGCAAAGAAGCTACTCGCAAATGGCCTGAATCCGCCGAGGGAGATCTACGCTCCATGATACAGAGGAAGACATGTTTTGACGTTTGCGAGTAGGCACTTTGCGAGTAGGGGAACGCGCTCGGTGAATGAGATGAACTTGACCAGTCGGCGGTGGACAAACCTCCCTTTAGTAAACCTCCCCTTAGCGACAACGGCCTGGGACCGAGACCAACGGACCTGGACCCGCAAAAATGACGGCCGCGACGCCCTCTCGCGAACCGAAAACGGCCAATTTCTTCATCGACGTGTCAGGGTAGGAGGTCTGCCCACCCCCGACACAGCGGTATAGGGCTGGAGGGATGGGCCTTTCTCGGTGCCGTGATTCGTCAGAGCATCGATGCAGTTGGCCTGCGCGCACCGGCAGGGCCGCACAGAACTGCCGAGAGCAAGGAGCAACACGGACCGAGAAAGTTAGCGGGAGAGGGTGGCGAGAAAACGTAAATGCACAGACGTACGAGGGAAAGAGAGAGAGAGAGAGAGTGAGAGTGAGAGAAAACAATATCTATATATATATATACACAAGACTGCAGTGACGCTTCGCGCCATGCACCTTGGCCCTTGAAGTTTGGAATGCAGGCGGAATGGCAGGAAAGTCAAGCCGACAATTTAGTGATAACTCCTGGTTGCCTTTTCCGGCATCGCCGCTACAATGATGTTATTCGTTATCCTTCCTCCATGCTTATTGTTTATTAGTTTCGCCATACCCTGCGCATTTTCCCCATCCTCCTCAGCTCTTTTTTGCGGAGGCTCCTCCTTGCAGAGCCTCTAGGGGCCTCACAAAAGTTGTTTCGGGCTTTCTTAAGGCCTTCTGGAGGCCTCCTGGGCGTCTGGGGGCCTCTGGGGGCTTCCTCGGGCCACCCTGCATCCAACCGCCGTCTCCCTGAACGACCGAATCACGATTTGGAATTCTTCTGAGGGTGTCTTTGGGCCATCTTGGGCCGCCATGGGGCTCTCTGAGGGCCATCTTGGACCCGTGTTGTGCCGTTTTGGGGCTCTCTTGGATTGCCTGGAAGCCCTTTCGGATGGTTGTGGGGCGATTTGGGAGCCTCCCAGGCGGCTTCGGACACTCGGAAGACCGCCGTCTTGGAGCGTCGGGAAGCCGAAAAGAGGAGAACCCCAATATTCACCAAAAACCAAAGAAAATTCATTATTTTTGCCTCGGGGGGCCTTCTTGGGAGTGCTCTTGGAGGCCTCTTTGGGGCCGTCCTGGAGGCCTCTTGGGCCATCTTGAGGTCACGTCGGTCACTTTGGGAGCGCTCTTGTGCTGTCTTGGGGGTCTCTGGGACGTCTCCGATGACCCCCTGATCGCCCTAAGTGTGCTGGGAAGGCTTGGCAGAACGCCTTGCGAGGCCCAGTGGCCGCTTCGAGGCCCGTCCGGAAGGCCCCAAAGCCCCAGGTCCCCGGAGTCTGGTTTTTTTTGGGGGGGATGCTGGGTTTTCCCCCCGCCCGGGCTTATAAAAATATAGGAAGAGGAAACTCTCTCTATATATATATATATATGTATACAGATGTAGATATATAAAAAAAAAAAGAGAGAGAGAGAGAGAGAGAGAGAGAGAAAGAGAGAGGCAGAGACAGAGGGTGAAACGAGCCGCGGACTGGAAAGAAACTGGCGTATGGTCAGACAAGGCTTTGGACAAGGCTGAAAGGGCACGGGGGGGGGGAAGAAAAATCACGCCGCAGGGCCCCGAAATGCGATACCTTCCTGGCATGTCCCAGAGTGCGTGTGTGGTCCAGATGGTGGCGTCCACCTCCGCCAGGTCCTCCTCCTCCTTCTCCTCCTCCTCCTCCTCTTCCTCCCCCTCCCCATTCATCCCCACCCCTCCGCCCCATCTCTCCGCCTCCACCTTGCCAAATGTTGCTCTCGACCCTCGATGGTCGAGGCTTTCGAAAGCTTTAGGCCCCCGTCGGGCCTCCTGAGGCCTCCCGCTGTCGCCTCTCCGGGGACGTCCAGGGGTAATGGTCTGGGGTGGCAGCAAGGCTTACGACTCCGCTCCTCCGCCTTCTACCCATCCTCCCCATCCCCCTCCTCCCCCTGCCCCTCCTCCTTCTCTCTCCTCCTCCTCCTCCTCCTCCTCCTCTCCCCCTCCTCCTCCTCCTCCTCACCCTCACCCGCACCCTCGCCCTCGCCCTCGCCCTCGCCCTCACTCTCCTCCTGCTCCTCCTCCTCCTTCTCCTCCTTCTCTTCCTCCCCCTCATCTGGGGTATCGCGTGATCAAATGAATCTCCACATCGGTTTCCAGGTTGCCAAGGCTGCATACAAATTGGTACTTCACACGTGTGTGCCAACATACGCGCGTGCACGCAAAGACGCTGGAATGCATGCAGAAGTGGACGCATGGCCACACACACACACACACACACACACACACGCGCGCGCACACACACACACACACACACACACACACACACACACACACACACACACACACCACACACACCGCACCCGCACCCGCCCCGCACCCGCACCCGCACCCGCACACACACACACACACACACACACACACACACACACACACACACACACACACACACACACACACGCACGCACGCACGCACGCACGCACGCACGCACGCACGCACGCACGGACACACACACACACACACACACACACACACACATACACACTCTGTTTGGCGGTCGCGGCCTCGCGCGCGGCGACGAGGCGGAGCAAGTCGAGCAACGGCATGGTGCAAGCGCACGCGGCAGGGCACACAGACGCGGGACCACATTGGGTCGCCACACACACACACACACACACACACACACACACACACATACACGCATACCACCTTCAACAGTGACATTCTAGACTCCGTGCCTCAACTGCACATACATCGATGAATCCCACCAGCCCTTTGGGCGTGAGTGGTTTAGCGAGCTCTCTCTGTCCTCAACCCCCCTTCTTCCCCTCCGGGGAGGGGTTTACCCCTCCCCCTACCCCCTCCCCCTGGGCCTGGAGAGGGCGCCCCGCGGGTCGTTGGAGGGGTCTTTTTCGACTCCTGGGAGGGCCAAACAACGACGATTTTACTACGGTTTCGGCCCCGCGTTCCTCTTCCTTCACAGCAAAATCATTGATTTTACGAAGGTTTTGGGCTCATTTTGTCCTTCTCAGGGGTCAGCGCTTATTAGCGCTTCTGAGGAGGTCGCAAGAGACCCCAAGATGGCCCCAAGAGGCCCCCAGGAGGGTCCCAAGAGGCCTCCAGGAGGCCCCCAAGAGGCCCCCCAGAGGCCCCTAGAGGTCCCCAAGAGGCCCCCTAGAGGCCCCCAAGAGGCCCCAAGAGGCCCCAAGAGGCCCCCAAGAGGCCCCCAAGAGGCTCCCAAGAGGCCCCCTAGAGGCTCCAAGAGGCCCCCAAGAGGCCCCCAAGAGGCCCCACGAGGAGCCCGAACGACTCACACCAGGACGAGGGGCCCGAACGACTCACACCACGAAGAGCCCGAACGACTCACACCACAAGGAGGGGCCCGAACGACTCACACCAGGACGAGGCGCCCGAACGACTCACACCACGAGGAGCCCGAACGACTCACACCACGACGCGGGCCCCGAACGACTCACACCACGAGGAGCCGGAACGAGTCACACCAGGAGGAGGGGCCCGAACGACTCACACCAGGACGAGGGGCCCGAACAACTCACACCACGAGAAGCCCGAACGACTCACACCAGGACGAAGAGCCCGAACGACTCACACCACGAAGAGCCCGAACGACTCACACCAGGAAGAAGGGCCCGAACGACTGACACCAGGACGAGAAACCCCAAACGACTCCAATCACGAGGAGCGCTTTCTCTCCCTCCTCCTCCGCCTCGTCCTTCTCCCGCTCCCCCCACAAGGAGGATGTACAAGGAGGCGGGAGGAAGGAGGAACAGGGGAGATATGCGGGGCCAAGCGGACACACGCCTGAAAAACACGACTGTCGGCATGCTTCGCAAGAGTTGCTGCTGTGAGATGGGCTGGTGGGGATACGCGAAGCGTAAAGAATTACACATGTACGAATGTCGTCGCTTACGCGCCTAGTAGAAAATCATCTGCAAGCACGGGCACGGAATGGAAACGCACAGGGGCAACGCCTGCTTGTTTGTGAAAACACACCCTACCCAAGCGTTTACCATGTACGGTAGTATGACGCGCGATAGCCATGAAATGAGGACTACGCCGAGTGGCTGTCGTGAGGGTGGTAGGCGGTGGTTGGTTGTCGGGGGTTGGACAGCGTGAGAGTTGTGCCGTCTATGTGTGTGCCTGTGTAGGGGGGGCTTCTGACACATAGATGTGTCCCAAGTGAATGCTGCCATCACCGAGGTGGAGGTACAAGTGCGCGTGTGGGGGGGTGAGCTCCTCCTTATGTTTCTCCATTGTCCTCCTTCTCATCATCGTCATTATTATGCTCGACTTCCGAAGCCCTCATCCTCATCCTCATCATTCGACTGTTCCTTATCCATGGAGGAGCTATGCTGTGCGCAGTCTCTTCTGTTTGGAGGGGGTCTATGCCATGTTCTGCCATGTGGTGACCGGTTGAGAGAAAGGCAGCGTAAGAAACCGAGCAACACAGAAATAGTGAGAACAAGGAGGGGGAAGAAGGATAGCATGCATTCATGGAGGCACTCGCAGGCTGGAGACGCGCTCTGAATCAATGCCCTCTTCCGCTTGTCCCCCTTCGCTCTCCTCCTTCTCCTACTCCTCCTCCTTCTTGTCCTCATCATCCTCCATCTCCTCCTCATCCTCCATCTCCTCCTTGTTCTCGTCGTCGTCGTCATTCTCCTCCTCCTCCTCCGCCGCCTCCTTCCTCCTCCTCCTCCTCCTCGTCATCATCATCATCAGCATCATCATCATCATCATCAGCATCATCAGCATCAGCATCATCATCAGCAGCAGCATCATCATCGTCATCAGCATCAGCATCATCATCATCATCATCAGCATCATCCTCATCCTCATCCTCATCCTCATCCTCATCCTCATCCTCATCCTCATCCTCATCATCATCATCATCATCATCATCATCATCATCATCATCATCATCATCATCATCATTATCTTCATCATCATCATCAGCAGCAGCAACCTCATCCTGATCCTCATCCTTATCATCATCAGCAGCATCGTCATCATCATCATCATCATCACCATCATCATCATATCATCATCATCATCGTCATCATCATCATACTCATCATCATCAGCACCATCAGAATCAGCATCATCATAAGCATTATCATCAGCATCAGCATCATCATCATCCTCATCCTCATCATCATCATCGGCAGCATCATTATCAGCAGCAGCAGCAGTATCACGATCACCATCCTCATCATCACTGTCACGCCCCCAGACCACCATCATACTCCTTGTCCCCATTATCCTTTACATCGCCGTCCTCCGCCTCATCGTCCTCCTCCTTCTCCTCCTCCTCCTTCTCCTCCTCCTGCTCATCATCATCATCATCATACTCACCTTCATCAACATCGTCATCTACGTGACTCTCCCAGATCGCCACTCTTCGTCCGCCTTCTCCTCTCCTTTTGTTCCCTCCATCCTCCTTGTCATTATCTCTACCCTCCCCCTCCTCCTCCGCCTCCTCCTGTTCAACTCCTCCCGTCTTACTTCCTTCCCTTCCTCTGTTTCCCCCCAACGCCCCCGTGCGCCAGCGCCAGGAGCGACTGATTGATCTTGGCCCCGTCTTTGAGCGCCTGACCTAGCGGCGGGGCGGACCAATCACCGCTAGGACCCGAGGGAACTCGGAGGGAGGAGGGAGGAGCAAGGAAGGATGTTGAGAATCACGAGAGAGAAGGGAGGAGGGAGGAGGGAGGGAGGAGGGAGGAGCGAGGAGAGAGGGAGGGAGGGAGGGAAAAGGGAGGGAGGGAGGAGGGAGAGGAGAGAAGGGAGGAGAAGGGAGGAGGGAGGAGCGAGGGAGGAGGAGGGAGGGCGGAGGGCGGAGGGAGGAGGGAGGAGGGAGGAGGGAGGAGCAAGGAGGGAGAGAGGGCGAGACCGAACCGCACCGCGGTCGGCGCGCCGGCTCCGGGCGCCTCGTGCGCGCCGCGTGCGCTGGCTGACGCGGCCGCGCCCTCTGCCGGCGAGCACCCATGGGCGTCGCGTCCACTCCTCCCCCCTCCTCCTCCTCCTCCTCCTCCTCCTCCTCCTCCTCCTCCTCCTCCTCCTCCTCCTCCTCCTCCTCCTCCTCCTCCTCCTCCTCCTCCTCCTCCTCCTCCTCCGCGCTTCGGAAATGGCGCCCAAGATGGCCCCTAGACGGCCCGAGAGGCCTCCGGGGCGTCCGGGGAGGCACGGCCGCCTGCACATGCACAGGACATGGCCGCACGGGTCGCACCGCGTTCCCTTCTGCAGGTCCTCAGGCTCTAAACCCCCTGCCGAGGCCAGGCTCAGGGCCCAGCTCCTCCGCGCAAAGGGTCTGGTCCCGCATACCTCTACATGTTTCCACACATGCACAAACATAGGCGGTCCCAAAGCACGAAGCTGCAGAATCGGTCGCTTCACGAAGCTGCGCAATCGTTCCGCTAAGTTGCTTCGGTTGTTGCACAACCAACTCATTTATCCTGTGATACTGGCTGGCGGACGGCTTACCCGTCTTGAGGGCTCCGTGCCAAGGGGTCCTTGCTCAGGATCCCTTCGCAACAAGACATCCTGAGTAGAAACCGCATGCTAAAAGAAGTCCTGAACCAGCACTCCATATCAAAAGGAGATGCACGAAGGATCCCATACTAAAGGCATCCTGGCGAAAGAGCCCATAGTTATTAAGGGAAGCCATGAAGACAAAAAAGATAGACTGGGGGGTCCTTACTAAAAGAGCGGGCCTTCGGTGGCGCGGAACCCTGTGTATGCTTTCGTCTGGGAAGTAGCGAAACTCTGTGCTTGTTTGTTTCTGAAGGGTGGGAGGCTCCAGTGCTCGCCGCCCCCCCTCCCCCCCCCGCCCACCCCGCGCCCCTCTCTGAGCCTCCAGAACCCGAGAAAAAACACACAGAGTCTGGTGCCCTCGGTGCCACGAAACGCTGTGCATGTGTGACTTCTGTGTTTGCTTGGGGGGTCTGGCAAGCAGCGGAACTCTGTGCATGCTCGTCGTCTTCTTTTTGTCTGGGGGGCTCCCGTGCCCACCGCGGCCTTCCCCACCGGCATCCCTCCCTGAGCCTCCAAGACCACACAAAAGTGCCCGCTGCTTCCGAGATTAACGAGAACGAACCCAAGAACAGCAACAAAAAAAACGGTCTGGCGCCCCTGGTGCCACGAAACGCTGTGCATGTGTTGTTTGCGTTTACTGTTGGCATGGGGGGCAGCGAAACGCTGTGTTTTTTTGGGGGGGTGGGGGCCCCGGCGCTGGCCGCGGCCTCCCCCCAGCACCCACCTCCGACCCCCCCCCCCAAAAAAAGAACACACACACAGCGTTTTGTAGCACCGATAGGGGGCCAGATGCGAACCCTACTCCTACCCCCCACGATTTCTGAGGGGGAGGGTGGGGTTCACCTCGTTCGGGAGCTCCCGAGCAAAGTGAACCCCACCCTCCCCCTCAGGAATCGTGGGGGGCAGGGGTAGGGTTCGCATCTGGCCCCCTAACCGAGGGCACCGAACACTGTGCATGTTTGCTTGTTTGGGCTTCTTTGGTCTGGGAAGCAGTGAGATAGCGTGGCTGACGACCTTGACCGGGTAACGTCTGTCCTTCTCCGTTCTCAACGTAACATTGCAAGCCGTAGTGAAGAAGTAGAACAAAAAACATGTCTTTAGACTTGGATGAACTCGCTCGATCCTTGTGATGTGGGCGGTACTGTCGTCGGTCTCCACCGGGTCGGGCTCTGGTGGCATTATCTTGTTGTTCTCCCACGGTCCGTCGGGTAGTACAATTGCGATGATAGCTTCGTCTTTGAAAGCTGGTAGCTTAGCCTTTGCCTCGTAGTAGATGTCTCGTCGTAGAGCGGATCCGTCATCGCGATATGATTGGTCGAGCTTTGTACCCGTAGTGAACGGTGCGGCGTCTGATCAGGAATGCGCAGATCCTGCTGCGTCTACTAAGGTGTATGAGCAGTCTGTCTTGTGTGGTAATTGAAAGCGCAAGCTCTGCAAGGCCCATCTTCGTGTTTGGTCGGGCTCGGGGTTGTATTTGGCCATATATCTTGCCCATGCCCCGCTCGTACAACATGTTTGAGGGCAGAGTGGCCATGCATCTCGTAGTTCTGCGGTGGGAAGGGACGCGTGCTCTGGCGGAGGGGGAGTGCACCGAGTAACCCCACTCGCTCGTTGAAGGCTTTCCTCTGTACCTTGTGTTTCGTGTGCTCCCTGAGCGCTTGTAGAGCTGTTCTCCATCATTTTTCCATGTGGGCGATCCCGTCGCTGTAGCTGTGTTGTGCCCAAAATGTCCCCTCGCTTACTCCCGTACGCTTTCTGGCTGAGCCACAATCCTTGCATTTGTGCAACCATGCGGAATCGATCTGGATCTGGCTGGTCCATATCGCGCCGTGCAGCTGGATAGTGTCCAATCAGTGAGAATGGTGTGGTGGACCGTGCCGTAGTACCCTGAAATCGTATTTAAGTCGCTGACACGCAGCAGGTCCTCCAAATCGTTTCTGCCCACGCGGCCCAAGATGTCGCAGTAGGTGATCCTGTTGTCGTGCTGCTCGTGGTTGGGTATACCCAGGGTTCTTCTGTAAAGCGTCATGCAGGTAGAATGCAGCAGTGCTTTCTCGGTGGTAGTTCCCGCTGACCCGATTTCTGCATTGTAGGTGATTCCTGGCAACGCCAGGGCACCTGCCACTTGTTTCAGCTGCGAGGTAACGAACTGTTTCGGGTACACGCCACGCGACGTGGTGGCGTAGCCACCCGTGATGTTTGCAAATGCCAGTCTTGTCTTTCCTGGCCCAGGGCTTCGTCCGCGTCGAGCATGCCTCCCACATGCTTCTGGCTTTGATAGTCATGCCCATCTCCTGCATGCTTCCTCCTCCTCCTCCTCCTCCTCCTCCTCCCTCCTCCACAGGTACGAGTGCACGGCGTTCGCGGCCCTTCATGCTTCGTGCTGTTTCGGGCTTGCGTGCACTGTCGTCGGTGGGCCTTGCTCGTGTCACCCCCTCTACAGTCGCGCGTCTCTGAGCGTATGAGCCCCTGTGCAAGTCCATTCGGCCAGGCTGATTCGACAGGTCATCGAACGATCGCTCTTGTGAGTTGTTATTATTATTACCTCCCTCCTCCCTCCCCCCACCCCATCTCTCTCTCTGCCCACCCCTCGCTCCCTCTCTCGCTTTGGGGCCTGTGTTCTGCGTCTGCGTCGCCCGCTCGGAGCCCGCTAGGTCGATGAGGCAGATCCTCGGCCGCTCTGCGAGGAGGACGTGCGCGGAAGCAAAAAGGGGCCGGAGGAGGAGAATCCGGTCACGGACTCGGAACGACTGCGAAGACATAGACCACAAACGTGCCTCGGGAGAGACCTCGCTCAACTCTGCCGAGGTACTCCCTCCGAGCCTGACGGAGGAGGAGGAGGAGGAGGAGGAGGAGAAGGAGGAGAGGATGGAGAAACGGAGGGACGGACGGGTGGGGGGAGGAGGGAAGAGGGAGAGCAGGGAAGAAGGAGGAGGGAGGAATTGGGCAGAAGGAGGATAAGGATAAAGATAAGGCCCTTAGGGGTCGGGTGTCCGCCTGCTCGGCACTCGCGAGACCCATGGGTACAAGAGGGAGGAGGGAGGAGGGAGGAGGAGCACGGAGGCGGGAGCAGGCAGGAGAGGAAAAGGAAGGCGGTGAATGGGGAAGAAGACGGCGATGGAGGCGCAGCAGTGCAAGCAGGAGGACTGAAGGCAGGGACGCGGGCAAATAGTAGGGCGAGGAGCAGCAGCAATCGCAATTCCACGCCGCATGCCCCAGCCAGTGCTGCACTCGCGCCAGAGCGGTCCGTGGCGATCCCATGGCCTGCGGTGCCCACGTTCGCCTGCATGACACGGTCTGCGACGAGCTTGCGACATGCGCTCCAGCGGCTGGCCCGGCACCCGGCCGCTGGGTCGTACTCCCGATGCTCGTAAGTGCAGCCGGGGGGGCGATTCGAGCGTGGACGTGCTCCTTTTTCCTTTTTTCCTCATCCTCCTCCTCCTCCTCCTCCTCCTCCGCCTCCTCCTCCGCCTCCTCCTCGTCGTCGACGACGCCATCAGCATCCTCATCCTTTTCCCCCTGTGGGATCACTGCTCGCTCTCGCCAACACTTACACACGCCGCGCCCATGCGGCCACCTCCTCTGCTCCAGGATGGGGTCGGCTGCTGAGGCGGCCAAGGCGATGAGACACAGCGCTCACTGTGGCAACCGCGCACAGGGCCTTGCGACCGACTTCGGCGACCAGCACCTCAGAAACTAATCGGGCGACCCAGGAGGCAATGAGGCAGAGATGAGGGCCGTCGCAAGGCTGGGTCGTCACCCCCTGCCCCCAAGTGATCACACTCAGGGAGGACGCAAGATAGACTAGGGGTCGCGACAGAGTCGATGGAGCAGCAATAGAAAAAGGACGACGGCGAAACCACCCTAGGCCAAATCAAACATGTCATCAAACCAATTGTCTGCCTCAGAGGATCGCCCAGTAGTAACGAGCACCTAGATACCCTGGGCAGTCACCGCGGCTTGTATCAATGGTAGTGATGTAACCACGCGCATCAACTCCACGTCCTCTGCAGCAGCATCATAATCTTCATCATCATGTTCAGAGGCGTACTTCTATCTCACGTGGGTATGGTCCAGTGTAGCAGCTTGGAGTCGCCAGTTGTTCTGCACCCGCGGGTATCTCGAACACCTGCTCATCCACCAGTGCAGCTGGGGGCGCCCAGGGCGTCGCAAAGTTTCTGCCCCTTCTGGAGTACGCTTCGGCGCAGTCGCACCCTCCTCATCGTCCTTCTCATCCTCCACCCCCAGCCCCCTCCCACCCATCATCCCCGCCCCTCTCCTCCAAGACACTGAAAGACTGGCCCCAGGATCTCTCATGGGGCGCGTTCTGGCCAGCCTCTCGAGGCGGACCCAGCCGTGGCGACGAGACCGCCCGAAAACTATTCAAAAACTGTAGTGGGGAAGCAAAACAACTCAGGCCTCGACGTGGGAGGCCACGTCCCAGCGTCGCCCCCCCCACACCACTTGCCCTTCTCGCACGTCCTCTGGCCTGAACCCCGCCCCCTCCCGTCCGTGAGTGGAGCGTCCGGACCTCCTTGCCCTGCCGCTGGAAGATGGGGTCCCCGTGCCCTGGGTGGCCGCAAAACGGCCCGCGTTTCGGCGCCCGCTGCTCTTGCGGGGAGGCGAGGGGGGCGACGAGGTAGAAGAAGACAGAAGAAGAAGCTGCGGCGCGAGCTGCTGGGAGGGGAAGGGGGTGTTAGGTGCTCGTTCTGGGGACCCTCCTGGAACTCCACTCATGCGTCGATGCTGCGTCGAACGTCCGCCGGCTTGAGCCAAACGTGAATCGGAAATGAGTCGAACTAGAGTCGAACTACCGAAGAGTCGAAACAAGTTTCGACCTGGAGTCGAACAGATCCGTGGGCTGGGCCCCAGGAAGGTCCCCAAAACGAACATCCAAATGGGGGATCCAAGGCGGGGACCTATCCATGATCACCACAGCCTGGGGGACCGATCTTCGGGGTCCTTTGCGGACGCTGGATATGGATATGCTCGGGCCCTGGGGAGCGGGAAGGGGGGAGGGAGAGAGGCGAGGGTTCATCGAAGAAGAGGCAACTGCGCAGAAAGAAGCTCTCGGATGACAGAGCGGAATTCCTGGATCGGCGCTTGACCCTCTGGCGGCGCCTCCGCCGCCGCCCCTGGCGCCCTCCGCGCGCCAGGGAGCCGGGAGGGGTCGAGTACTGATCCAAGAAATCCGCGCGGACCTTGGATAGTGTATGTTTATGCCGCTTGTCTCCTTCGAACGAGGAGCGGTGTTCGACGTCGTCAATGATGCGGGAGCAACGCGAACGGGCAATCTGCGATAGCGCGCGCGTGCGATCGCCAAAACCGCCGCGGAACCGAAGGCGACTTCGCTGCGAGGAAAGCCAAGCTCTGCAAAAGTCGGCGCGCGATTCTGCGCGGGGAGTGCTCAAGCTCCCGAGAGAGGGGGGCAACGGCCCGAGGGACGGCCACGCGTCGAAAAAGCATCGGGCGGCGCCCGCGAGGGGGTGGCGCGAGGGGGGCGGCTCCTGAGAAGGCGGAGGGGCTTCTCGGAAGTATGAAGGGGCCCTGGGACACACAAATAAATACACACAAATAAAACTATTCCCCATATTTTCCTATATTTTCTGGGTTTTTGTCTTCCCCACCACTTCCCATATTTTCCTATATTTTCTGGGGGAGCGACGATTAATTGTGTCTGTGTGTTTTTTTCCCTCCTGAAAGTAGACAGGCGCGTTCCACTACTCGCACAGTAACTGCTCCCAAATGGCCCGGATCCGCCGCGGGGGATTCACGATCCACTGCACCGAGGCAAACGAACGTGTTTTGTTAGGACGTTTGCGAATAGGTACTCTGCGAGCAGTGGGCCGCGCTCGGTGCAGAAGGCAGGGGAGGGGGACCTCCTGGAAGGCCCTGGAGGCTTCCGAGCAGGCTCTCGGAAGCCGGGCGGCACTCCCAAGAAGGCCCCCCCCCCTGCCTGCCCAGCCGCCTTCTCAGGAGCCCGTCCCCCTCGCGATTCGTCACCCCCCTGTGGGCGCCGCCATGAGAGCTCGCCGCCCGTGCCTGCTCGAATCAAGCAGAGCACCGGCAGCAAGCGGCTGGCCGGCTGATGGCATGGACATGAAAATTCTGCCCGCAGGGCCGCCCCTGCTGTCTTTCCAGCTCCTCCTCCGCCTCCCCGAGCTTAGTGGGCCCTGGAAACGACAAGGCCGTTTTTGGTCGACCCCGTTTTTCCGTTGTTGCTTCTGGTCCCGTCGCCGTTGCTGTGTCTCGTTCCGTCGCCGTTTGTGGTTCCTGTCCTGGTTCCTCCTCCGATTCCGGATCCATGTCGGTGAGGTGTGTTGATTTTCCTTGCGTCTTCATACTTCAAGAGCCAGATTCTCGGAAACAATAACTGCTACTGTGCCACTTCCTGGGCCCACTAAACCCCCCAACCCCACTAATGCCGCAGTCTACCTCTTACGCACCAGCGTGACGCCGTCGCGGATCGGCAGCATCACGGTCATCAGCTTGGGGTGGTTGGCCAGCCACGCGTTGAACTCCTTGATGTCCTCTCCGAAGCCCCTCCGCTTCGGCTGCGTGTCGTATTCGGCTGGCATGTAGGGTAGGCCGCAGTACAGCGTATTGTCCACCGCGATCATCGCGCCATCGGCCAGCAAGTCACGCTCCAGCAGGACTTCCACGTAGCGCTTGTACTCCGACTTGTTGGCGTCGACGAAGACAAAGTCGAACTTCTTGTGAGCGGGCAGCTTCGCCATCGACTCGAGCGCGGGCCCCACCATGACAGAATGCTTCTTACCCTCTGGGAACTTGCTCATGACATCGCCGACCCAGCGCTGCAAGAACGGATCGATATCGAGCGACACGCACTCGCCGTCCGCTGGGAGAGCCTCGACGATGGCCGCCGCGCCGTAGCCCGTGAACATGCCAATCTCGAGCACGCGCTTCGGGGACTTCATGAAGGTGAACATCTTGATTGTCATGGCCTCCGTGGGGTCCGTCGACATCTCGGGGCCGTAGGAGAACATCGTGTGGCCCTGACTCCAGAGCGAGTCCCAGTTTGTGTTGTCCATCTTCTCCTTGATTGCCTTCATGATCGGGCCACTGCAGTTGGACACCGAGGAGATGTACGGATCCAGGCCTCCGATCAGGCAGAAGAGCTCCTTGGCGACGCCCTCGATCCGCTCGCAGTGGATGGACCACCTCGCGGCACTCTTGCCCGCAGACGCCTCGAGGGCGCTGTTCTCCAGAGTCCCGCGGGCGCCCGTCTCCAGCTTCTCGGTGCCGCCGAAGCGTCCGGTGTAGCCTTTCATCTCGCAGAGCGCGGCGGGGGCCGCACTCGGCCGCGACGGCGACGAGCTGGCACCCACCGCCGCCGCGCCCACCACCGGCGCTGCGGTCGCCAGGCCGCGGCGGAAGCTCGAGCTGCCCGAGAGCAGGAAGCGCACGGAGGCCATGACTGCGATGCTGCCGGGGAGGCGTGGGCCCCGCGGGACGGCCAGGACGGGGCGCGGGCTCCGCGTGGCAGGGCAGCCTCGGACAGGGGCGTGAGCCAAAAGCGGCTACGCGGGACGGATGGCGAGCTCAGCATCGGCAGGAACTGGAGCAGAAGCGCCTGACAGAAGAGCTCCTTGCTAGCAGCACTGCCGCGGGAGCAGCACAGTGAGCTGAGAGCCGAGCCGCGCGCCGCGTGCAGCTGCATGCGCCACGGCCGTGCAGGGTAGATCTTTTTCGTATGCGGCGATACGGGCTCTGCGGTGAAGTGGCACAAGAGCTGGAGCAGGTGGAGCAAGAGGAGGAGGAGGAGCAGCAGCAGGAGGCTCCGAATGAGGCGAAACGACAAGGGGGGGACCAGCTCAGGGGGGGGGGGGGGGAGACATCGATCTGACATCAAACAGGTCGCCCATACATCCACGACAGGCCCCCGATAGAGAGAAACCGGACGTTCCTGCGCAGGGTGGGCTGTCAGGCCCCTATCGGCGGCGAATGTCCCACTGTGGGTCGAAGCATCCCCCCTCCCAGGAAAGAGGATAAGGATGGCACGTGGACGCCCGAGCTGAAGCCGAAGTTGAAGTGCATGGCCCGTGGCCGAGGCCTGTCAGGGCTAGGACAAGCCAAGAGGCAAGGAACGCAAGAGCAACCTTGGAGTGATCGTCGTAACTCATGACGCGGGCTGACTGGTTTCCTCCCCGCGTCGAGTGTCGACGGCCCCGAGGCACGGGAAGGGCACCCGGAGACCGACAACCGCGAGGCGGGGATCCTCCCAGAACCACCACGCTGGGGGATCGATCTCTGGGGACCTCGGCGGCGCAACGATGAATCCATATTCCTGCTCGACATGTTCGGGTCAAACGCGCGTCTCCAGCAGAAGCGCATAGCACTAGCTCCTTCGGTGTCCCAGAACTCGCCGTTCGTTCGAGTCTTTTTGTTTGGCCTCTTCTGGCTCGAGCTCAGATATTGCGCTCTTCAAGCTGGCTGGACAAGACTCCTGCTGCTCCTCTTGAAGCCTTGAGACGCACACTCGCTCAGCACCAACACGGAGAGAAAGGGGTCCTCACGCTGCTCGCCATCCGACGAGGCGGGGGGCCTCTCGAAGAAGGAAACCATGGCACGAGCACAAACTTTCGGAGGTCGGCGTGGATTTCTCGGATCGGCAGTGGGCCTCCCTGGCGGCGCCTCTGGCGCCGCCCCCGGCGCGCTCCACGTTCCGCCTCTTCTGGTGACCACCTCTGGGGGGATCGATGCTCGGGGCCTCGGCAGGCGTCGGACATGGAGAGACCCCGTCCGCAGCGGGCCCGAGGGCTCCTCGGGTCGTGGCCACGTGCTCGAGCGTCAGCGAGAAGACGGCGTGCGAGCGGGAGGAGCGGGCGTTGGCGGCGGTGGCCTGCCCGCGCGCGCGCGCGCACCTCCCCGCCCTCCTCGTCCTCCTCCCTCCCCCTCCGACGAGGGGGGAACGGTACTCCAGATTTCGTAATAAAAGGGAGGGGGTCTGGACCCTCCAAGACAAGCCATTTCAGACCCCCCCCGTGGGAGAACCCTCCAAAACATCGTCCCCAGACCCCCCAAGGCCCTCCAAGATAGCCTGGAAGAGACCCCCCCCCCCGAAAGGAGACCCCCCTCCCTTTTTGTTACGAAATCTGGAGCAAGGGGAGACCGGCTCAGGGAGGAAACATCGGCCTGGAACCAGCGATACATCGCCGATGGATCGACGGGGGTCGTTAAAGGCTTAACGACTTCTGCCGTCCTTCGACTCGCGCTGGAGCGGCCGCGAAGTGCTCGAACTTTCCCTGGAGATCTCTGGATTTACCTGGATTTACCAAGATTTATCTAGATTTACCTGGATTTACCTCGATTTATCTGCATTTACCTGGGTTTATCTGGTTCGATTCTCACAAGTCGATTGGCGAAAAGTCGACAAGCCCTAAGGGAGGGGGGCCCCCGAAAAAGCGGATCGGCACGGCCCTGGGCGCGGCGGGCCATCCGGCCCCCGCCCGGCGATGGAGTGGGCAATTGGGGGGGTCGGTGCGTCCCCCCCCCCCCGGGGGCAGGTCGGGCCTGTCCCTCTACAGGGGGGATATTTTGGACGAAGAACCAGGGAGAATCCAAAAATACTCCCAAACATGCTCCAACACGGCAGAAAAATCGTCCCCAGACTATTTGGGGACTATTAAAACAGGGCTAGGATCGGGATGAATCGCTCCAGAGCGTTCCGGAGCGCTCTCAGAGCGTTCCGGAACGCTCTGGAGCGGCCGCGGCGCCCAATACATCCTCCAAACCCGCCGATTCTCAGAGATTTCGAGTTATCCCGATCCGATTTTGTCCCGATCTTCGCGTCGTTTTAACTGTCTTTGAGTACTCCCCCTGTGGAGGGACCGGCCCGACTTCACCCCTGGGGGCCTGCACACCCCGAGCGCTGCCCCCCGACATTCCGCTGCTGGGCCACGCCCTCGGTCTGGGAGGCTCGAGGCTCGAGGAGCCCGCGCGCGCGGGCGCGCCTCCACGCCCTCCTCGTCCTCCTCCCTCCCCCTCCAGCCGCCAAGCTCTGCCCTCGAGCCTCGAGGATCCAGGGTCGAAGATTTTGGACGCCTGCGCTCATCCCCTGAGCCTGCTCTGGGAGGCCCTGGGGGCGCCTGGGGGTCCAGGCCTGGGGCTGCATCGGAACTTACCAGCCCTGCTCCGCTCCCTCCCCCTCTCCCTTCACCTGCCCCTCCCCCTCCACATCCGCCTCCTCCCTGTGCTCCTCCTCCTCCTCCTCCTCCTCCTCCTCCTCCTCCTCCTCCTCCTCCTCCTCCTCCTCCTCCATCCTCCTCCTCCTCCATCCTCCTGCTCTGTTCCCTCGGAAAGGCCCGCGTGTACGCACCGCGAACAGGCTCGTGCGTGCCAGCGCGCCGACAGAGGCCCCCGCTGCGCGCTCGCAACAAGCATGAGCAGCGTCGCTTAACCATGCGCGCAGACGGGGGCCACATTCGATGGAGAACATGTGCGGCCGACGTGTCTATGAGGACCCGGGGTTAGTTCCAACAAAAACGGCCGACGCCCCGAGATCCGCCCCCCTCCCCCCCTGGCACGTTGAGGCGTGCAAAAATACCAGGTGCTGCTCTGAAGGGCATCCGTACACGTCGTTCATTTCTAATCGTGATCATTTCC